GAGACGGGGTTTCACCATGTTGACCAGGATGGTCTCGATCTCTTGACCTCGTGATCCACCCGCCTCGGCCTCCCAAAGTGCTGGGATTACAGGCTTGAGCCACCGCGCCCGGCTGCCCTGACAGTTTTAATCCTGTAAGAATAAATATCAAAGGCAGTGAAATAGCAACCTACCCCATCTTCCCTAGTTGTCCCAAAAATGTCCCTTATGGCTGTTTGTCTAATCCAGGAACACACGTTGCACCTAATTGGCATCTCGTTAAGTTTCTTTTAATCTTGCAGTGTTTTTCTCCCCACCCCACTTTTTCTCATGTCACTGACAGTTATCCTATGGTATGCTCCACCTTCTGGATTTGTCTGGTTGTTTCTTTGTGGAGTGTTCTATTCTCTATATTTCCTATAAATTGTTCTCTGTATTTCCTATAAATTGGAAGTTAGTTTTAAAGCCCTGAGGTATCCAAGTTAAACATTTTTTAATAGAATGAATTAAAATGTCAGGTAATATTATATATTCTATATTGTATCACAACAGGAGACATATTTGGATGACCTACCATTAGTGATGCTAAGTTTTACATTGTACTGGAGCAACACCAATCCATTTCATCCTCTGTAATCTAATGCTTTTACTCTCCTTCTAGTTTCGCTAGCTCTTTCTCAAAATACAGTTCTCAGACCGGCAGTATTAGCATTGGCAATAGCAGCTTCACCTGGGAACTTGTTAGAAGTACAAATTTATGGATCTTCCTCTAACCTACTGACTTAGAATATTTGGGGATGGGACTAAGGAAACTGTGTTTAAATAAGCCTTCCAGATGATTCTTATGCATGCTAAAGTTTGAGAACCACTGGGCTGTCTCAACTCATATTTTAGTTTCCTGAATAATTTATGTTGAGTTGCTTTAATTCATCATTGGTGAGTTGGTTGGAGTAAAATATTGTTTTGTTGCTTTTTATTTGTGTAATTCAGTGTGAAAGTCTTGAGTTAGTACAAACCTTCATTTCTGTTGAACTCCATCTTAAAAAAGAATAAAAACCACCACCACCACCACCACCACCACCAACCAAAAAAAAACCTCAAACTAGGTTCTCTGAAGTATTTGTGTAATAAAGGAACAAATGTCACTTCTACCCCCAACATCATTGGTCAGTTGGCAGTTTATTTAATCAACATTTGTGAATTTAGCATGCTAAGATCATTAACCAATCTGAATTATGCTTTTTCTATTTTTCATAGAGGTATTCTTTTTTCCAAACTGCTATAATTTTTCTTATTAGGCTGGAGGACGTGTGCCAGTGTTAGACACACTCATAGATCTTGTTACACGAGGCCGATCTATCCCGGTACATCTGAATTCTTTGCCAAGACTGGAATCCCTAGTAGCTGAGGTTCAGGCATGGAAAGAATGTGCTGTTAATACATTCTTAACTGAGAATTCTCCATATTCTCTCTTAGAGGTAAGTTTATAACCAGCTCATCTGCAAGACCTTAGATCTCCTAGTTTGGTAAAATATGCAGTTCATCACGTACAAAGATGACATCATAGATTAATCTATATTCTATGAGTTGTTATTCCAGTAAAGCCAGGGTGATTCTTCTAATCTTCTGGTGAAGCAACCTTTAAATGTTTTCTTGATTCATTTAGGATAGCAGTTAGAATCCAAAGAAGAAAACTTTTTCCTGTTGGGTGAAATTCCTCTGTGTTGAAATTGGACTCTTAAACTTGACCATGCTTCACCCACCTGAATTTAGTAAGCCTGATAAATGATCTCCCCCATCTTTTAAAAGTGCTTTAGGCCAGGCACAATGGCTCACGCCTGTAATCCTAGCACTTTGGGGAGGCCAAGGTGGGTGGATCACAAGGTCAGGAGTTCGAGACCAGCCTGGCCAATATGGTGAAGCCCCGTCTCTACTAAAAATAAAAATATTAGCTGGGCATGGTGGCGTATGCCTGTAGTCCCAGCTACTTGGGAGGCTGAGGCAGAAGAATCACTTGAACCCGGGAGGGGGAGGTTGCAGTGAGCCAAGATCATGCCACTGTACTCCAGCCTGGTGACAGAGTGAGACTCCGTCTCAAAAAAAAAAAGTGCTTTAGATGGACTTTTTGTATTTTCTGTAAGCTGTTGCTTGTGCGTCATGACTGGGATCAGTCAGTATATGTCACATTTTTTTACTTGTTAATTGAATCAGGAATCAGTGGATCTTTCATGCGCCTTCTTCCATCTCCCTTTTGTAAAGGAGAGTCTCAGCGTTGACTCCTGAGTCTCTCAGGAGAACATGTTCCAAAGAAAATATTCAGTACTAAGAAATGCACATCATTTTTACTGCTTAGGCTTTTATTTTGGGACTTCTACCTAATGCTTTATCTGAAATTTATTTTACCATTGGTTGTGCTTTGTCCCACATTAGGTGCTGTGTCCTCGATGTGATATTGGCCTTTTGGGATTGAAAAGGAAGCAGAGAAAGTTAAAGGAGCCCTTGCCAAACGGAAAGAAAAAAAGCACCAAATTAGAGAGTCTGAGTGACCTGGAGAGAGCTTTAACTGAAAGCAAAGAGACTGCTTCAGCTGTATGTAGGGTTTTTTTTCTTCGCCTTTCTGCATTGTTGAGGAGAATAATTTTTTCTGGTTTATAGGAATTTAGAGAAAGCAAGTAGAGTAACTTGAAAGTGCTCAGTTTTACTGAAAAGACTTTTTGAAAGTTGTCAAGTGTAAGAGTTTTGAATGGTAAGATGCATGGAGGTGTGAAAATTTCAGGATAGGCTTCCCAGTCAGTGTCTTGCAGGTGCAGAAACAGTGCCTGTGGATTGATCCAGGAATGCTGACTAAAGATATTGGGCTAATATTGATAGACATATGAAACTGCAGTGCCAATTTATTAATTTACAGTAAGAAGGACATTTAAAAGTTTGCTGGATACTTTGATACTCATCTCGAAGACCTTAACATCTCTGACCTGTGTTTAGTAAATACTGTTCATAAGAAGATAAAGCAATGTGTAACCAATGTTACACACTGAACACCTTATCAGGATGAAAGAGGGATAGCTATGTGATGCTTTTTTTTTTTTTTTTTTAAAGACGGGGTTTCACCATGTTGGTCAGGCTGTTCTTGAACTTCCAACCTCTGGTGATCCACCCGCCTTGGCCTCCAAAGTGCTTGGATTACAGGCGTGAGCCACCACACCCATCCTGTGTGAGGCTTTTAATGGCACAAAGCATTGCCCGTCCCACAGTGGGAATGTATACTGAATGGGTTCATCCTTGGATCCAGGCATCTTCTCCCATTGATTTCTTTGTAGCCGCCAAACCTCTTGTGAGAGACATGGGTTGCCTTGATTTATTTATGTATTTTGACACAGATGTTCTTTGGTGTATATTTGTATATTTTGTTGGGTTCTAGACACATTTCTGCCATCAGAGGTCCTCCATTACATTTCTGGTTTGTTTTTATAAAGACTAACTGAAAGTTACAGTCTCTCTCTCCTGAGATGTATATATGTTGGTTTGAGACTTTATATGCAGTATCTTTCATAGATTTTAGTCTGTGCCCATCTGGTCTTTAGACCCCTGGTTTAAGAATTCTCCCTAAACATTATCTGTTAATTTGTGGTAGAACTCAAATGTTAGTCATTTGCTTTCCATCTCTAAGCTGTGAGAAGTTACCTTGTTATCATATAACCCACACATATTACCTGTGTATTATATTTACAAAATAAGTGGATTTAAAAAAAAATTTTGTCCACAACGTCGTTCCTCTTTTTTTTTTTTTTTTTTTGGGGGACGGAGTTTCACTCGTTACCCAGGCTGGAGTGCAATGGCGCGATCTCGGCTCACCGCAACCTCCGCCTCCTGGGTTCAGGCAATTCTCCTGCCTCAGCCTCCTGAGTAGCTGGGATTACAGGCACGCGCCACCATGTCCAGCTAATTTTTTGTATTTTTAGTAGAGACGGGGTTTCACCGTGTTGACCAGGATGGTCTCGATCTCTTGACCTCGTGATCCACCCGCCTCGGCCTCCCAAAGTGCTGGGATTACAGGCTTGAGCCACCGCGCCTGGCTTTTTTTTTTTTTAATATACCAAAGGTCATTTGCTTTTGGGTTTTTTTTTTTTTTTTTTAAAGCGATAATGGAGAGCTTATTCTGGCCTTGTAAGGGTGCTTCATCTGGTGAATCGTGATGGATCTGAAAGTGGATAGATGTGATCATTAGAAACGGTTTAACTGTGACATTTTTTTTTGAGAACTTGTTTACTATGTTTCAGGCAGAGTGCCCTTAACTTGTCATCTCAGCCCTGTGAGGCGTGCACTGTTATCACCTCTGTTTTACACATGCAGAAATAAGAAATTTAGCCACAGTGGAATATGTAGCCCCAGGTCACTCACACAGCTTAGTATGAGTCAGAGTCAGGATTTGAATACAGATAATCTACTCAGGATCCTATGCTCTTAACCACCAGGACTTTGAGTTTTAGGGAAAGGCTGAGTTCTCTATGACATCATCCTTGATTGTTAACTCTTTTTCAGATGGCAACTCTTGGGGAAGCTCGCTTAAGGGAAATGGAAGCCTTGCAGTCTCTCAGACTTGCCAATGAAAGAAAATTGCTCTCGCCTGTCCAAGATGCGGATATAAAAATCTGCCTATGTCAGAAGGCCCCAGCTGCCCCTATGATCCAGTGTGAACTCTGCAGGGATGCTTTCCACACCAGTTGTGTGGCGGTACCCAGTATTTCACAGGGCCCCCGAATCTGGCTTTGTCCCCATTGTCGGAGGTCAGAGAAACCTCCGTTAGAGAAAATTCTGCCCCTGCTCGCCTCTCTGCAGCGTATCCGAGTTCGTCTTCCTGAGGGAGATGCACTACGATATATGATTGAAAGAACCGTGAACTGGCAGCACAGAGCCCAGCAACTACTTTCATCAGGGAATCTTAAATTTATGCAAGATCGTTTGGGCTCAGGACTGTTATATAGCAAATGGCAAGCCTCAGCAGGACAGGTGTCAGACACAAACAAGGTGAATCTGGACTTTTCTTGTTGGGTTACTGGAATTTTTGCCAAGCTCTGTACCTTTCTCTTGAACCTGTAGCTTTGGTGTTGCTATTCCCTTGGTGATCACTTTACTGTTACCAGCACCCACTTTACCTGTTTCTTTTAGTGTCCTCTGCTCCTAATAGAAGTTGTTTCTCAGGCATTCTGTTTTTATAGAACACATATTTACCTTTTTCACAGATAGAAGTAATTTTTTCGTTTATATGTGTGCTGACCCATATATATTTTACATATACATATATGATGTATCTTTAAATCTTTGCTTGACTAAAAAGTTTTTCACCCTGCTTCTTCTCATGTAAGTCAATTAGTAGAAAGGGAAAGTGCTTCCTGCCTCTTACCTCTTTTTGGAAGATAAATTTTTGGAAGAAGTGTTTGAGCACTATGTTATCTCAGAGGAGAACTCCTGGGTTTTACACCATTTGCAATCTTTCTGTTTTGACCATCACTGGATGGATAGAGTTTTCTGTCATCCTCCATAGATGGCTGCAGTAAAAGAATGTGAAGACAACAAAAAAGAACAATCAGGAAGGCAGTATTCAATTTTTTTTAATAAGGTTAATCTGATGTTTTTTAATTTGATACATATTTTCATACCAGAGATATCACAACTCTCTTGTGCCATATGAACACAGACACATGGATTATATGAGTTAAATTGTTGCTAAGATCAGAGATGAGGACCAGAAAAAATAGTCTCTCTGTCCTATTTGTTTCCTTGGTTTTTTATTTCTTTGCAGGCTTCTGAAATATAGTGCCTGACACATAGCAGATGATGAATCAAATATTTGTTGCGTAGATGAGTTGTGGCATCTGTACACACTCCCAAAGTGGAGTCATTGGTGTTTTTTACCCAGGATGTGCTAGGAGTTTACCTTTCTTATTAAAGGGAGAGGACATAACTATTACTTATTAATTCATGTTCAAAGAAGTGTTTCCTCTAGCTCCTTTAATAAAACACTAAGGAAGATAGGGAAGTGGTTATGGATGATTTCTGACAGGTCCTCATTTGGTTTACTCAGGGGGATACATATGTGTTCATTGTATTTTAATCTTCAATAAGGAGAATTAGAAAAAGATTTAAAGGCTGTATGATCTGTTCTCACACTGAGAAAATGGCTTATTTCCCAGTGGTCTTTACATCTCTGAAATCAGTCCAAGTAAAACGGGAAAGATTAAAGGCTTGATCTTTGGGAGGATACGAGTTGATTTGGCCAGTTCTGAAATGCCAGGAGACTCTTCAGTAGGGGAAAATCAAGTTATTTTTTTTCCTGGTTGCCTGCCTGGGTAATGCAAGCTAGTGTCATTGGACTAATGGGAGTATTTTTAATCCTGAAGAGATTTTATTATAAAACCTTTTCTCTCTATTAGGTATCTCAGCCTCCTGGCACAACATCATTTTCCTTGCCTGATGACTGGGACAACAGAACCTCATATTTGCACTCTCCCTTCTCTACTGGATGGAGTTGTATCCCCCTCCATGGTTTGTATTTTGTTATTATTATGTAATGAGTTATCTTGTATTACTAGATTTTTGTTATAGATGATCAAGTACCATAAAAAAGGACTTTATGGCCAGGCGCAGTGGCTCATGCCCAATCCTAGCACTTTGGGAGGCCGAGGTGGGTATATCACCTGAGGTCAGGAGTTCAAGACCAGCCTGGCCATCATGGTGAAATCCCATCTTTAAAAGCAAAAAAAGAAAAAAAGGACTTTATGGTGAAATGTAGGATATATAGACTATTACATATTTGCAGAATAGGGAAGGGATCCTACTGAAGGCTTGTAAATGAATAAATGGAAAGGAAAAGAGAGGAAGGCTTTATATCCATTGTCCTCGGGGATTAAAGGGTTCATGCCACACCAACTGATAATTAGACACTGGTGTCTAAGTCACAGGCTCCCTTGTTACTTCATTACTTAGGAGACTTGTGGAGAATCTTAGGGATAATCCACATTTGCTAGAGTCCTGATCCTTAGTCACAGCATCTCATTTTGTGTCTAGTAATGTGGTTAGAGCTCCTTGATCTGCTCAGACTGTTCATGCTGTGGGCCACCATCAGTTTGTTTCTATGCTTTTTTTTTTTTTTTTTTCTTTTTTTTTTTCTTTTTTTTTTTTTTTTTTTTTTTTTTTTTTTTTTTTTTTTTTTTTTTTTTTTTTTTTCTTTTTTGATGGCCTATAGTATCATCTGATGTTTCTATGCTCTCTATCAGAAGCCATCAAGGCAAAAGTACAATCTCTTCATTAGCAATAAGTTACATGAGAAGGGGATTTAGTGTAGAATTAATACTAGTAATCAGAAGACTTAGGAAATGTAGTTTTGGTTCTGTTTATTGTGCTTTTAGGCACATTAAGTAAACCTCACTTAAACTGAAGTAATTTGCAATTTAAGGAGCGGGTAGTAGTATAAGGGGCAGTCCTTCTGTTTGTCTGATAGATCCAAATGTGAATGTGAAACACCCTTTGTTGTTAACATTTTGATTTGGTCTGTCTTTAACAGGCGTTAGTCCAGATGTGAATGAACTATTGATGGAAGCCCAGCTGCTCCAGGTATCCCTTCCTGAAATTCAGGAACTTTACCAGACTTTACTTGCAAAGCCAAGCCCTACTCAGCAGACTGACAGAAGCTCACCAGTGAGACCCAGCAGTGAGAAGGTGAGTGTCTGAGAGGCTTCTGGGCAAGGCACAGTCTGGGGTGGAGGTATGCTTTTTAGTGTCATTCTATCTAAATAGCATGGTGAATAAGATGGTATCTTTGATCCAGAAAAGGATGCAAACTCTCTACCTCACATTTCTGCTCCTAAGACTGTCGGTGAGAAGATAGGTGCTGGATATCATCTGCTATGGTTTGGGTATGCAACCTGGATTTTGTTCCTGTTTTAAGTCACTGTGTGAATATTTATTTTCTTTTTAGCAAATGCCTCCTCATCATTCCCAAGTGGTAATGGTGAGAAGCAGGGTTATTTTCCCCTATAAGAGAAATAACTGTAAAGATGATTGGAAAGGCATTTTGGGATAAACTCTTAGAATCAAAGATATTCCTAGAATCAACATTTTAACATGCTTTCTTTTACTCCTCCAAACCTACCAAGACAGCTGGCGTGAGGACTGGGTGATTAGACTGACCCATTTTGGTTTTTTTTTTTTGTTTGTTTGTTTGTTTTGGGGGGGACGGAGTTTCGCTCTTGTGTTACCCAGGCTGGAGTGCAATGGCGCGATCTTGGCTCACTGCAACCTCCGCCTCCTGGGTTCAGGCAATTCTCCTGCCTCAGCCTCCTGAGTCGCTGGGATTACAGGCACACGCCACCATGTCCAGCTAATTTTTTGTATTTTTAGTAGAGACGGGGTTTCACCATGTTGACCAGGATGGTCTCAATCTCTTGACCTCGTGATCCACCCGCCTCGGCCTCCCAAAGTGCTGGGATTACAGGCGTGAGCCACCGCGCCCGGCAACTGACCCATTTTGAATGCTGACTTACTTGAAGGATATTCCTTAATATTCTGTTTCTTAACATAGTTAAGGATACTGCTGCTGCCACTTCCTTCTGGTGAACTGACCGACCTATCACATTTAAGGCCCCTGAGAATACTACTGGGAAGCCTGAAGCTAAATTAGGGAAGAACTTCTCTAAAGATAGCATGAGGGCTAATGTTGGCATTTAGAATTTCATTTTTCATTATGATACCAAGTAGTATGGCATGATCGGTGAATATATTCAGTTAATACACCTTACTCCTTCCACCTTATAGGTGCCCACACCTTATAGGAGTAAGGTGTATTAACTGAATACATTCAACGATCATGCCATACTACTTGGTATACATCCTTAAAGAAGGAAGATATTACTGTGGTTCCTCAGGAGCCTATAGGTCAAAGGATAGACATAAACACCTAGACAGAACCGATAGAGTAGTTAGTCATTCAGGGATTTGGTGAAAGGAAGACTTGGTGGGCCCCTCTCCATCTTCTGGTATTGGTTGGCTAATTTGAAGGCTAATCACGTCTTTAACATTCCTTTTCCCAGTGATCTTTTGGTAGCACTAACAGTGACAGGGGAAGGAAGTATGTTAAACCCAAACTGGTTTAGACTGGGAGGGGAGTGGTTAAGATGCAGTTTTTTTTTCTGTGTAGAGTGGGGGATCATCTGATTTCTAATTTACATGTTCTCTTTAGCTTCACTACTTTTAGTCATAGGTGAACCATAGGCTAAAATTGAAATTTTCCTATCTTCCATCCAGAATGACTGTTGCCGAGGGAAGCGAGATGGAATTAACAGTCTTGAGAGAAAACTGAAGAGACGCCTGGAAAGAGAGGGCCTCTCCAGTGAGCGGTGGGAACGAGTTAAGAAAATGCGGACCCCCAAAAAGAAGAAAATCAAACTGAGCCACCCCAAGGACATGAACAATTTCAAGTTAGAGAGAGAGCGTAGCTATGAATTAGTTCGTTCTGCCGAAACTCATTCCCTGCCCTCAGACACATCCTATTCCGAACAGGAAGACTCTGAGGATGAAGATGCCATCTGCCCAGCTGTGAGCTGCCTGCAGCCAGAAGGAGATGAGGTCAGTGAGGTTTGGGCCATAGAGGACGTGCTTTCCCTTAACTCAGAAACCCTGTAAGCTAGACCTCATCTCGCTGGGTCTTTCTCTTCTGCTTATCTGCTTTGAGCTGATCTGAATGGATTGCTCAGCCTTCCCCCCACTGATATCTGTGCTCTTACCATCGTTCCTGGGTCTCCTCCCTTTTCTTGAAGAAACTCTTGTTCTTCCCTTTTTCCTTTTCTTGCTCTTCCAGCTTTCACCTTCCCGGCGCTAAGAAGGTGGGAGGGATGCTGATGTAATGCCCTTTGGCTTATCACAGGGCAGCGCTGTCTTTACCCCAAAGCAGACACGACTTGAAGAATGACTTTGACTCGGTTGCTTTGGCTAGGGGGCCAGCTACACTCATTTGGCTTAGCTGTTGTGCCAGAGGTCCCAGTGGTGGGACAGTGGCCGTTATTGGCAAACGGCCTGAATTTCTTGAGGCTGGACTGCCCAAGTTTGAATCCATTTTTTTCCTCTGAACACCCCATCTTCCTGCTCTTTGTAACCAGGTGGACTGGGTCCAGTGTGATGGCAGCTGCAATCAGTGGTTTCATCAGGTCTGTGTTGGTGTCTCCCCAGAGATGGCAGAGAAAGAAGACTACATCTGTGTGCGCTGTACTGTGAAGGACGCACCAAGCCGAAAGTAAAAACACAAAAACAGATACCCCCCCGCCCCCCACTTAATGTAATTCAGGACTCCAACCAAGAGGATTTCTTCAAATCTCAGCAAAGCTACAGGACTGGTACTCAAGCCAGCCTGTAAACGGTGCTATTTCTATTCCTTATGGGATCATTTTTCCAGGACTCTTTGAAGAAAAGAAAAAACAACTAAAAAATTTTTTGACACTTTTTGTATTTTTTCCTTAAGAGCTGTTTGTGGTTGTTGAGGTTTGAAAAGCTGACTGTTTTTTGCAGGGGTTCCCACCAATTTGGAAGGCATTGAAGCTTGCACCTTTTCATGTACAGCATTAAAATTTTACCTCTGTCTGGGATTTACCAGCTTAAGAGTCCAACTCACTTCCAGTGCCCAGAAGGGTACCCACCAGAAATTCCAGTAAATCCTCATTTGAGGAAGCTCTCCCTTGTTTATTCCTTTACCAGATTGGGGAAATTTTTTAAGTTTTTCACTTTGGGGGGTTTTGTTTGTTTCTTCTCTTTATCCACTTTTCTTTTTCCTGGTAGACTAGGTTTATTTATCTGAGCAATAACTTCCGTGTTGGTTTCCGTGGCTGGAATTAAAACAAAACAAAACAAACTTCCAAACAGTGTGTTGGTGCTTTAGCAATTGGTTGATGTACAGAACACAAATGTCTAGTTTCTAGTGTCACTGATGAACTAGTGATGTAGAAAAGAGACTTCTCTGTAAGTAATTGCCACAGCTGTAATTTGGCTTTCTCCCTGCCCCTTTCTTCTGCCCCTATTTTTTGGTAGCTTGTATCAAATGTTACAGTTTATATTGTGGAATAAATCCTTCATCCTAACATAACACTAAATGCTGATTATTTAGAGCCATTAGAGCACAGCTGCTTCTGCCCCTCTCCAGTGTGGGCTTACACAGCCAGAAGGGGCTGCCTGCTTTTGCTTCTGCCCAACTGAGTTGCAGTGGCAGTGGATATTAGCCTGCAAACAACATTAGGGTATTCTTCTTTTGTGTCCTCCTCTGTTTGGTGGGCCATAGGCCTACAGCCCTCACTAACAAAGAACCCCTCTGTCTTTAAGGACTAGAACCTGTCTTTAAAGCCATGCTCTTTTTACTAAAGCTTTCTCAGAATGTTGGCAAATCACTTCAATCCTCAAATCAGTCCTCCTCGTGGAATGATGCCATTATTATATTTGAGTTGACAGGAGAACTTGGTTTTAGGGTTAAGACGTTGGAAGGAAATCTAAGGAAAATTAATCTTCATAGAGGTCCAGGTTTAGTATATGTCTTGAGAGGGGACTTGTGAATTCCCAGGCTTTGCCTCCTTGTTCTCTTTCTCATTTCTTTCTAACTCTAGCTGTCATTACTGGCTATGGATAGCCCATAGCTATTTTCCTTGCTTTTCTTTTTTAAAGGGCTCTGTTCTGCAGTGGAGAAGACATTCCAGTGAACAGAACAGACTTTTGCTTACTTTTTCCTATTCTGTTGCCAGTATTTGTTTTCTCCACATTCTACAGCCATAAACCTGAAGATGAGTAAAATTGGTGGGTCTTTAATAAAACAACAACAAAAACAGCAGTTTGTGATATAGCAGAGATTTAAATGTACTCTCCCCTTTTATGCACTTCAAATAATTAAATCTCTTTAAGAATGACTTCTAGTTGTCTGCAGTTTTCTGCAGTTGTTGTGATGTTTCTCCTCGTCTGATGGGGGTTCTGGGGCCAATGGAGAATAGTCTCCAGAGTACAATCTGGAATCATCGTGGTTTGGCCTTGTTAGTATTCAAATTCTTAGAACCCCCTTCCTCACCCCCAACATTGAAATATGATCCCAACTGTCCCAGTCCTTTCTTCTATTGAGAAATTAAGCTTAAAACAAGACTCTGCTGCTATAAAGCCACTGCTTATTTAGAGAGCTTCTGCCATCTAGTACGCACAACCTCTGCCCCCATCCCCACTAGTTTGTCTTCTTCACCTGTGGTTGGTGCACAGTCCCTGACAATAGCATCCTTGAGAAGATGGGATCTTTGTACCTGTGAGTGAGGCAGAAAAGGTAGGCATGTGTGTATTTGAACCACAACCTCCCTGGATGAGAACCACTGACCATTTTATATGTGATGATGCTGAAGTTAAAGAGAATGTCAGTTGCCCAAAGATATACAACTAGTAAACAACGAAACCTGGGTTTTTTGTCTTCCAGTTCTCCTACAGTGTTGCTCCTGCCTTGTACACCATCACACTACCAGTGAACACAGAGATACGTTTACTTTCCAGTTTATGCCTTGTTCGTTGTATCCCTAAAATAACTACAGACTGACGTTGTGATCTGAAAACCATGTTTCATTGTGTGTTAGCTCTGAAGCTGGCCTGTACCAGAGAAACCTCTGAATTTGTAGGGAAACATGATAAAATGCACACAGAAACTGACGTTTCAGTTTCCATGTCAGTAGTCCTGCAGGTATGTGAGGTGGGAGAGGGGAAGGGCTGTGTTAGGTTAGAGCCTGAGCCAGGAGGAGGGTCAGCGGGTAAAGAGAATCTGGTGAACTCTGCACCAAAGGGTAGAGAAAGATTATGTAATTTGGACTGGCTTTACAGGAAGTTGACGTCTTTACAGCTTCATTTCAGTATCCTGGGAGATGGGATTCATTTTTCTAACTCAAGGGTAACCTAAAGGAGAGATGCCACTTGTGGTGGAGGTTGGTAAAAACCTGAATCTCCCTGCTTCCTTCTCCAGTGCAGAGCTTAAGAAAATGACAATAAAGATCTTGAGGCTTTGGGTATTTTAGCAAGGTGTCTGAAATGTACCTGATTTTGCCATTATACCCATCATCAAAAGCAACATGGCTCTTTGGGTGTTGTTGGTGTAAGATTAGCCTGAGAATAGAGTAGATGTCTACCTGGAAGAGGGTGAAACATGGCTCTCTACCATTCCAGGTGGTACTCTGAAGGCCCTTTGTAATGGGTTTCCGCCTCTTTTTATTCCACTTAAAAATCTTGATGGATATTTGGCAGTCTGTTAAGACCTGCTTCTGGCTTAGGGCAGGCATTGATTGGTATTAGTACCCATGGGTGTTTTTCTGGGTTCAGTCTTGCCTATGTTTCTTGCCATATAGCACAGACCGGAATGGATTCCAGATGCTATATACGTGTACCAGGAGACAGAATTGGACAACAAGGATTTTAAGAGTCATTGCCCATTGTGATACATTAAGCCAGAGCTGATTATTCATTATCAGACTGACTACATGCTAGTCCATGCTAGTGTCAGCCTATATTAAAATAGTCTTTCCTTGCCACAGAGCTGCAGAAAACACAATCCCTTCTGATGAAACGTTGCTTCTTGGGAAGAAGAGGTGAGGAAAGCAATGAAGATCCCAGTGTCAGCCTTTATTGAGCTATGTATGAGGGTCAGGTCCCTCAATTCCTATTGACTATGAAGCAGCTGAGTGCTGGCTTCGCCCTCTTTGCCCCTTTGTCACCAGTCCTTTGCATGTGGCTCTCTTAAGCCTCTCAGCTTTCTCTTGGGAGGCTTCATGTGTAACTTATAACAAATGTTTCTGAAAACCTGCCTAAACAAAAAAAAATGTATATAGTAGGAATTTGTATAAAGTAATACTGTTGTAAATCCTGTCTGAGGGTGTAAAAATCAATTTGTAAAGTGTATATTTTCACTTCTCCCTTCAAGTTTGTGTGAACAAGTTTTCATGTTTCAATATTGCTTACATAGGAATGCACCTTATGTTTTTATCAGTATAAATGGAACATTTAAAGCCAGTCAACAACAGCAGATAATCCAGCTCCCTGTTTGTGTTCTGGGTTAATTGTACAAGGATGAAGAAAGTGGTGAGTTTGGGTGAGTTTCTTACTTTCAGGATAACCGGCTGCATTGCAATAATGGAATGGAATGGTGAGGTCATTTGACCTGTTCCAGGTGAGTGGAGGCCAAAGAATATTCTTTCTGCCTCCCCTTGGATGGGAAAATCGAGAAATTTAAAAGTTGCCCTAAAAAAAAAGTTGCCTTTCTGAGGAAACAAAAGTTATTTTCTCTTTTTAATATAAATGTCGAAAGGCACCCCCTAAACACCAAAACTTTTAGCTCCTGGCAAACTTACCTAGCTAGAAGTTGGAGAGGAGTACAGTTGCAAACACTGCCTCCTTTCTGCCCTTGTCAATACTTTTTCACTGACCGTTATTCTGCGAACCCACACACTCAAAAGCCCCTTTTGTATATGATCAGGACAAGTAGTTCAACAGTTAATTAAAACATTAAATTAATGGATGAGAAAAATACATTTAACCTAAATCTTATGTATATTAGAGTTCTCAAACTCAAAAATTGAGAAAAATTACAGTTTGGGCATGACGGCCTTCATTCATAATAGCCAAAATGCATTATCTATGATTTCTGCTTGAGCTCCTTTAAAATTATTTTTAAAGAATTTGCACAACAAAAGAGAAAAACAATTTTTTTTTTTTTTGAGACAGCATTTCACCCTTGTTGCCCAGGCTGGGGTGCAGTGGCGCTATCTCAACTCGCTGCAACCTCTGCCGACCAGGTTCAGGTGATTCTCCTGCCTTAGCTTCCCAAATAGCTGGGATTACCGGCATGTGCCACTACATCTGGCTAATTTTGTATTTTTGTACAGACAGGGTTTCACCATGTTGGTTGGGCTGATTTCGAACTCCTGACCTCAAGTGATCGACCTGCCTCAGCCTTCCAAAGTGAGCCACCATGCCTGGCCTAGGAATTTGATTTTAGAATTCTAAATATTTACTCATTTTCTCCAATCTTTTGTAAGAATTCCACCCACCTAAATTGACAGTTTTACAAGTAAGTAAATCAATTTGGTTTTTATAAAAACAACTTCACACTCATTTCATTGTGAATGATAACATAGTTGCTATAACAAATTGACTAGTATGATTAGGAACAAATACTACTCGAGAATAAAAGAGAGCAGGCCAAAGGTGTTCAGGCCAAGACCATGAGTACATTTTACAGAAGGAATGTAGAGGGAGAGCGCAGGTTGATCCAAGTTGCTTAAGAGAGTGTCAGTATCGTGTGTGGAGTATTGAGGGGCGACAGTTGGTTTTGTTTTTGTTTTTTTTGAGACAGGGTCTTGCTCTTTCACCCAGTTTGGAGTACACTGGCGTCATCACAGCTCACTGCAGCTTCCACCTCCCATGCTTCAAGTGATCCCCCCCACCTCAGCCTCCTAGGTAGCTGGGACTAGTGTGGGCCACAAAGCCACAATTAGTGTGTGGCTAATTTTTAAAAAAAATTTTTTTTATAAAGACAGGGTTTCACTATGTTGTCCAGGCTGGTCTCGTGGGCTCAGTGGGGAGGGAGGCGGGGGAATCATCCTGCCTTGGCCTCCTAAAGGCAAGAGAGTGTTTTAAAATCACTTGATCTGTCTCTTGCAAGACTTTTCTTTTTTAGACAAGTCTCTGTCTCTGAGGCTGGAGTGCAGTGGCAAGATCTTGGCTCACTGCAACTTCTGCCTCCCAGGTTCAAGCGACTCTCCTGCCTCAGCCTCCGGAATAGCTGGGATTACAGGTGCCCATCACCACACCCAGCTAATTTTTGTACTTTTAGTAGAGACAGGCCTGGCCTCGAACTCCTGACCCCAAGTGATCTGCCCACCTCGGCCTCCCAAAGTGCTGGGATTACAGATGTGAGCCACTGCACCTGGCCTCTTGCAAGACTTTCTGAGGTCCTAGGAGATGGTTGCTATTTAAGATGCTCCATAGCTTCTGAAGCCATCCTAATTCACTGGCCAGTTATAGTACACGTGGAATTCTGCTCTTTCAATGCTGTCATCACCCATCATAGTCCCTGTTCCTATTTCACAGGTGTGAAAACCAAACAGATGAAGCAACACTTGCCCAAGCCAGTCTAACTAAGAGTATTGGCCCTGGAATGGGGGAACCTCCTTCATCTCTGTTGCTGTCCCCACATTTCTTCTTGCTCCCAGCCAGCAGGGAATAGAGTAGGCAAATGTAGTTTAAGGTTTGACCTCCAGTCCCTAATTTTTTTTTTGTAGCCCTGGTTGTGGAGTACTCTTATTTTTTAAAGATGTCTTGAAATCTAGCAACCATGTTTAGCCTTGAAGTGGCCACCCTCAAATGGGCCAAAATGCCTCAAATGATGCTTTTCCTTTTCCCTCTTGAGACTGAGAACCCATGGTCCTTAACACGGTGTGTTCCACAGACACCACTGTATATTCTCAGGCAATGTCACAGGAGGAGGCAGATCCTGGGCATAGGCTTCTGGACATTGGCATGCCTTGGGAGGTTAGCAGAGGACATGGTGGACATGAGTGCCCACAGCCTGTTTCTATGTTGTCTTCATTTCCATACCACCCCACATTCCACTCAAACCCTCCAAGGAGCAAGAATGTACAACTTAAGTAGGTCTTAATGGGTCAAGGAAAAGAATGTCCAGAAAGTTAAGCAGAGGGGAGTTTGAAGGGCGAATAAGGCAGTATGACTGAATATGCAAGCACTTAGCTCAATATCCTTCCTTCCCATTGATTTCATTCAGTATGTTCCCTTTGAGCCACTGCTAAACTTAGGGGAACTCTGGCTGCCACTTCAGCGTGGCCACCAGATAGCACCATTTGGTTTCCATAAGTGCTATATATTCTCACCATAT